GGAAACATTCAGAAAAGGTTCATATTCACGTCATATTTCATCTCACTTAGGAATAAAGATCAGGAGCACCAAACATGATTGTGTGGACATGGTACATACTATGCAATCATGTTTAATGAATGCATACTTTGCTTTTACACATTTTTATGATGTTTTTGTAAATTATTTGCTTTTTCCAGGGTTATTTCTTCTTTTTAAGACTCAATATCAAGTACAAGTGTTGAGATTGAACACAGTGTCAACAAATAATACAGCTAAAGAAGCAAAAAGGCAGTCTTTGTCTAACACGTGTTACACAAATATATTTTGTGAAAAGGAAATGATACTATTTTATGCGACTTGTAAACTGGTTGTTATACCTAGCGCTTGACTAGTGGTTACGAAAATGTTTTTTCGGGGGAAAAACACTAGCATAATTTGACCTTAAGTTCATTTACATATGAAAACATTACAAAAACTTGTATGTGTCTCCTCTTATATGTGTGTGTTGCATTTGTCTATACATTTAGTTGGAGTGTTCTAACATGCATTGCTACTCAAAATGACAAGATACTACCGCCATATTAAACTATGGTGGGCTAATATCTAAAACCATCATGTGCTAAGACACATACAATCATTTAGTCATTCAGTTTCAGAAAAAAAGTCTAAAAAGTCACATTGTTGGCTTGGAGAGATTCAGGATCTCACACACACACACACACACACACACACACCCTAGCCGTCTCCTTCAGTATTCATATACACAAACACACTTCTGAGATCACAGGACCTAAAACTTTGGGTCATATGTAGGTTATGGCACCTTTGGCGTTGGAGTCCAGAAAGACCTCGACGTAGGATGAGGGGACGTAACCCTCCTCTTCCTCGTTTCTTCTAACACGCGTCCATCCGTCACCTTTGTCTTCCTCTATTACATACAAGAGCTCACCCTCCGTTACTGAGATGGTGCCTTCATTAACACCTACAGAGAAAATTGGAAGAAAATCAATCAATCAATCCATCAATAAATAATTCAAATATGTATATACAGTGCAGTTTACAAGTTTGTGGTCAGTAGGATTATTTCATGTTTTTAAAAGAAGCCTCTTATGCTCATCAGAGCCACAATTATGTGATAAAAAATACAGTAAAATCAGTAATATTGTGAAATATTATTACAATTCAAAATA